ATTCTAACAAATATCAAACAAACCATTTATAGTACGTCTCTTTGAAGAACAAAAGTTTAGGACCCCCCCCCCCCCTTTGAAAAAAGGGGGGAGAAAAAATGTATGTTATAGTACCCTGAAAGCTATAAATTTAATTTTTCTTGTCTCAATTAAAACCATTCACTAGAATCAAAGAAACACAACAAACCATTAATGAAGAGTTTCCAGTTCAATAAATAAGACAATTAATAGGCAGGTGCAAATCTCGGGCCAATTACATTATCAAGAAATCTTTAAGATGACTTCAGATCAATTCTAAAAATCATTACACCCAACAAGGAACATGAATCATCTCAAAATTTCTTAATATTGATTTATGCTGACTTGTTCATTGATTAAAAGTGGGGTAAAACTCAAGACAATGGAACAAACACTCCACTCATGCTAAAACTCAATTTCTTTCATAGAGCTTTCAAATCATAATTATACTTCGTTTTGTTGCAAATAATTAAAGTTCAATGCATTAATTGCTGTATAATATCTAGAAGCTTATTTTGGTATGCAAGCAGGAAGTGGGTGCAGGCTAACATAACCATGATAAAACATATGGTTTAGATTTTTTGTTTAGTTGTTGTAACTTCCACATAATGTTTTATTTATCACAACACAGATTATACAACTATTCTACAAACATGATGAAATCGCTCATCATTCATGCCAACAAAAATCTGATAATCATGCATCAAAACTTTATCCCCTCTTAATCTTGGAGCCAGCTACTATATTTTAAAAATTATCTGCAACATCTTCATAATGAATATGTAATGCTGTTGAATATGAAATTGCAAATTAAAAAATAAATATTTTTCTGTAAGAGCATAACAAACAACTAACAAAAACCCAACAAATAACAAAAATAAGTAAATAAATGCTTGACAACAAGGGAATCTATGCATAACATGCAAAAATTCTTATCACAGCTATTCACAGAATCTAAAACACATCCTTCATCAAAACTCATACTTTATATAATAAAACAAAAGGGTGGCTATAAAAATACAAAAATCTATGGCAAAAATTAATATCATTCCCCAAAAATATGAGATTCCTCTTTATGAGCATAAAATTGAGAATTGATTCAATACTGCAAAATTAAAGGTGAGCAAATATATTGTGTGTGTGAAAAAAGAGCATTTGTAATATCATGTTTGATGGCTTTGGAAACTTTTAAATAAAGGAATACTATAACACGGATCCTAAAATGTCTACTAAAAATATTCATTTTACTTTTTCATAATTTCTATGCATTTTCTTTTTGTTTTAAAGATCATTATTACAAGTACTCACATCAATATTTGATGAATTTCCTTAAGATTAATTACTTTTGGTCAAGTTTGCCTAATGTACCTATCATAGACTTATAGCGTACCTTATAATTTGGTCCTTTGATTAATCTCTTACTAAAATTTTTACTTTTCTGACTTTTTCTGAGAAAACTCTATTGCAACAAAACATTCACAATCTTTGAATTTACTGCAATATTTCCTTACCCTACCGATTATCACAACTATAGTACACCTTCAAAGATCAGAAGGCTCGAAAAAAAAAATAATAATAATAGACCAAACTAAAAACATAATAAATTGTGAGACAGTCACTGCAGAAATTGTTTATTTCTAGAATCTGATCTGCCAATCAATTCTGCTGAGCAATGAACTTTAAAAATATTACCCTTTCACTTACATAATGTGAAAAAAGTGCTTCAATAAATATGTATTGTAAACAACAACAATCCAAATGATGAAATATATATATATATATACACTTGTATAATCATGTTCTAATCTCCTTCCAATGCATACCTCTATGAAGTATGTGGACATTTGAACTCTTATGAAATGAAAACAAATTTCAGTGCCTACAACCATGTTTCAGGGGAAGGAGTCCCATGTATGCGTTACAGGAAAATATGCTCAATGAACTTCTAAAAAGAAACATATCATATATAACAAAAATTTTTAATATCATGAATTAGAATTTCATTCTTTCAAATCTATCATAAAAGGAGGAAGAGACTTTTGCAATTATTTCTAAATGTACTTTAAAAGCACACCATTAATTCTAAAAGGATGCCTCTAACAATTAATTCTTTTTATCAGATTTGCAAAAGATTCTTCTGTCATAGTGTAACTGAACTTCATTTCCTTTGACCCCCCCCCCCCCAACTTTTTCAACTGTGTATAGTGATGGTGTATAAAAGTCTAACACCCTTGTCCCTATTGGCATACTCTTCCTACTCTCTTTTACAGAAGAGTTCTTACTACAAATGACATACTTGCTTCAATTCAAAAAATAATAATTTCTACAATTTACAAATTACAAAGCTAGAAACTCATATCATCAACAATAAGATGAACCAAATTCGTTGTTTGTTCCTTGTGGACTCCCAACAGAAACATCAGGGCTCGAAGGGAGACTAAAGGTCAAGGTCGGAATGACAAAGCCTCCTTTCTGTTCTGTTACACATTCCTCATCCTCCTCTAATGAAGAATCACTGAATGAGGTGTTGACGTCTGCTACATTGGGATTCTCCAGGTCAGCCAAGGGATCAAGACTGTATCTCTTAGACCCAGGGGGTCTATCACTGTCTGACTCCACAGAGCTCAGACTCGAGTCTGTCAGAGATACTGGGATCACAGGGAGGGTGTCTGAGGAGGATCTCCCATTGTGTACACTTTTCTCCTCCTCAGCCTTCTTATCCTCTTCTCCAGGGTCATCTTGTGACAGATCTCTCACCAAACCTTCATCCACCCCAACACCAGAATCTTTGGTGGTTTCTTTCCCTGAGTCTGCCAGACTCTTGGCAAATTTCAGGAACTCGTCCTGCTTGTGACTTTCTTCATCACTGCTGCTGTGCTCACTTTGGCCGTTTGAGTCTAGAGAGGATGTGCACGACTCGGACGTGTCAGATTCCACCATATCTTCATCTTCCAAACTCTCAAGGACATCCAGAACATCTGTAGACTCCGACTTGGAGGGACCTTGTCTAGCTGTATCAATATGACACAAGTCATCAAAATGATCCACTAGGGCAAATGCTGGAGGATCATTCACACTTTCAAAGCTATATTTGTAGCCTCTTTCTCTGTGGAAGCTTACTTTTCTTGGTCTCTGAGGACCATAAAACTTATCTCTCTGATCTACCTCTGACTGGACAGGCTTAACTTTAGTATTTGTTGGGTTGAAAACCACTTCTCCTGGCTGCATTTGGATCTCTAATGGCTTCTTGCTGTCTGCATGTTTAGCAGAGGGAAGTGAACCATAGTCGCTCTTAGTATCAGTCTCTGAATCACCCAGTCCACTGCTTCCAGGCTTAGAGTCAGGTCCTGTGGAAATATCCACAGGTTTGAATGTAGAAAATGTGATGTTTTTTAAGTTGGGCTTTCTGGAAGGGGGGTCTTTATCCTGAATCAGGAAAGCTGCAGCTTGTGAAGGCTGGTCTAGATCTTGTCTGATACATTCAGAAAGCTCCTGGACCAGGCACACAGGCATCTCTTCACATCTGGCACCCTCCTGTTTATGAGTTCTAGTTTCCTCTACCTCATGACTTACTGACTTATTATCTTTCTCAGTTTTATTCATTAACTCCTCCTCTTTATAACATTTATTTTGTTTTTCCTCATCTAGCTTTATTTCTTTGTAACAAGTATCTTGTTTCTCCTCCTCTAGTTTTTTCTTTCCCGCAATTTCACTCATTTTTCTGTGAAGTTCACCAATAAATTTTACCTCCCCATTAGGAATCTTATTCCTGATATCTCTTTCCCCATGAAATGATGAACTTTTGCACAGATTTGGACTTTTGACCTTCCTGTCTTTCTCTCCTCTGAAAGACAAACTCTTGCTGAGAATTCCCCTTGTCTGTATGTGTCTGATGACATCCCTCTCCAGAGTTGGGCTAGTGGTATCATCTATAGATGAGAAGCTGTCCTTTGGTGGGAGTCTGTGGATGTTAACGATCTCCAACTTTCTGTTGCATGATGGGGACCTCTCTAGGGAGGATTTACTGGAATGTCGTGGTCCAGTGGACGGGGATCTACTCAGCACTGACCTACCTGATGGCGACATACTTTTACTTGTCACCTTATCCCAGGAAACAGACCTCCCAGACACAGGGGATTCATTTCTGGACTCGCTTCCCCCCTCATACACCTTAACATGCTCTATCTGCATATTAGTGGGTCTCCTCTTTTTGGAGCTTCTTCCACGCCTGATAAATGGAGGACTTTTTGTTGTTTCTTGAACATCTGCTCCATTATTTTCATACAGCCTCCTTTCTAGGTAGTATGGAATGTCTTCAATGAGATCATCTGAGCTGCTGACTTCATTTTTGTCTGCCTCAGGAGAAGCCCCATGAGGGGAAGTATTCATCACTGACTTGTCCTCCTCCACACTTCCTGATGCTGCAGATGGTTCACAATGATCCACTGGATCCTGATGAGAATTAGCACTTACAACACACTGATCGACTGTGTCCATCTTTGTCCTACTATCATTCTCCACTAAAGAGTTAGGTATTTCCTTCACTGGTGACATCTCCACACTGACAGTTATACAAGTCCCCGCTGGTATCTCCTCATTTAATGTAATAACAAACTTTCCAGCTTGACTTGTAATTTGTTTCTGTTCTGTAGAAGAATCTGACGTTTCTGAAGGTGGTGATGAATCTTTCACATCTTCAGCAAACATAACTTTCTTGCCATCTTTAAGGTGAGAAACATTCCCTGAATGGTCAAGAGAAAGATTTCTTTCTCTTGATCTTATCCCTGTAGAAATATCATTATCAACTAAAGAAATCTCCCCATTATTAGCACATAAACTATCTTGCCCTCCACCACCACCACCACCTGAAAATTTAGGATTAACAGATACATGGTTACCATTGTCATGTACATTTTGATTGGCTGACAATATATGGGAATTAGTATCTAAACATTCAGAGTTAGTAACAATAAAACTGGCACCTCTGAGAGCATTGTTTTCTCTCTCCTGGTCAACCTCTTCCTCAGCCCCGGGGGTCCCTTCCCGACTCCTCTGGACGTGATCCAGTTTCGGCGAGTGGAGGGAATGACTTCCAGAGAGTGAACTGTCCATACTCTGGGTATCATTGTGGTCACTCCTGCCTGGGGACACCACTCTCTCCATCTGCACCACATGGGAACCACTAGATGCCAGGCTATTATTGGTGTCTGGTGTGTTATGGATCATCGTCTTTGAGGCGATCTTTGGTGTAACACTCGTACTACGACTTGAAGAGATCCTACCACTAACAGATCTGTAATATTAAAAAGTGTTTGGTTAGACATTATCTATAAATAGTGAAACTTTATTGAGAAAAGCTTTGTGTCATCTTCTGAAATGATGGGGCATCAAGATACCGAAAGCTTCTATTTTCATTAGTCCTGATATTTTGGTGGAAAATGCTGGTCACTTTTTTAAAAATCTTCAACTCTTTTAATTATCAAAAGTAATATGAGCAGCATAGCTTACATTTATTTCTTTTTTTCTCAAGTCTCTTTGTGTTTGATCAATTGAATTCTTCATAAAATATCCCTTTAATCAATGATACAGAAAAACAAACAAACAAGGCAAATGAACTGACTTTAATAAAAAAAAATTCAGCCATTCCCTTTATAATACAATAATGCTTTACCTACAGTTACCTAGACACATTGACTAGTGCTAACAATTGAAGGATCATACATGCTGGAGACTTAACAAAGTCTATTTTGTATAGATAATTTATTTATACTGAACAAAAATTCTATTTTACGGACATTTGTTTCCACAAAATCAAATGACGAACAAACATCCAGACTTAAATTAGAAACGAAGCAAAACAAAATTGACACTTTGTACAAGAACCATGGCAACAAATGCTATCTAAAATTAAGAAACTTCAGAGGTCTATATTAGTCACCAATAAGAAAGCAAAAACTCTAGTAACTGTAGGTCATCTCCAGGATTTTGATAAAAGGACAATGGGCTTATAGTCAAGAAATGAGGACTGTGATATTTAAGGGGAAATAACTCACAAGTAAAATTTATAATCAAACTTCAATCAAAATTTTTTATCAAAATTCTGTTACATTACATGAATTCAAAATAAACTTGAGTCCTATAATAATAATGCATCAATAAACCTTAACTCCCACCCCTTATGCTGAAGTTCTATTCTGTAACTCCTGTTTCCCCATTATAAAAATTGAAACATTAAGAAATTCTGCATTCATAACAAAAGCTGAGGAAACACACTGACATTTAAACAATATCAAGAGATCCTCTGAATTAAAAGAATAAGGAAGAGGAATTAATGACAGACTTCTCAGACAAATGTCGACAACAAAGTCCACTTACTTTCTGTTAACCCTTGAGTTGTTTGATAAATATAGAAATACAATGAGTTCTGCATACACTGCATCCTCAACACAAGATAAAAAATACTAATTTAAGTCTTTTCCTTGTTTTGTACTTGTAATATTTTTGGTTGAATTTTTTTTCCAATAAAATATTCCCTAAAAAGTCTCCTTCCTGAAACTATGACTTTTGAGTGCTTAGAAGAAAACTTTACAAAGAGATCTATTTGCCAAAATTAATAAAAGTCATGTAGACCACACTGCTGTCCAGATAAGCATCTACGCTATATAAAAAAAGTTCCTTGACTTCCTGGCATACTTAATCTTGAGAATTTTTATGAATGGCCCCCACCTTTTATTTTTTCTTGGATGAAAGCAATGCACTTTCTTAAATAAATTAAAAGAAAATAAGCCCCTTTACCTTGATGCTTATTTTTTAAATTTGTAGAAATTTGTTGGTTGTTTCCAACAGAAAAGTCAAAAATGTAAAAAATTAACATACTGGTGTATAAAGAAACCAGCAAAAGAGAATCCCTTTCGAAAGGCATCAACTAAGCCTCTATATTTAGAACTAAGGGTTACCAATTGGCAGGTGAGGCACAGATTAGAAACCATTTAAAACCACAACTGTCACGTAACATGGTAGCAATTGAAAATGTTTTGAGGACTGTTTAAGTGAAGATGTTTAGATATATACCTTTGGAACTGTGGAGTAATGGGGTTTTCTCGTACATAGCTCATCAGCTGTTTCTGTGTCCTTCCACTATATCTGTAAAGACATCAATAGAATAAAGAGGTGGATCAAAGATTTTGTTAAGTCAAATGTCACCATTATTGTTTTGACACCTCATTTCCCTACCTTCACAGGCATCATTTAGAATGAACATTGAAATTTTTGATAAACAAACCGAAGTACCTTCATATGTCACAAAAAGTTACTAGGTATGAAATACATGTAAGTATTTTAACTTCATGTCTTGGTTTATCATATATTTCATTTTGCTATTTACTTTACATCTATATGAAACAGGATGGGATGGACAGTGCTTCAAATGATCTTTTCCACTGTTGTATCAAAAGTGTTTTGAATTTGGTTGGGGGTGGGGGAGAAGGTAATTAAAGATGTATGGGCAGTGAGGTAAAACTAAAAGTGCCTTCCATCCCCCTCCCCCATTTTTTCCCCCTGGAATAGTCATTACAATATGCTAGAAGAAATTAACAATCAATAACAGAAGATTCCTGCTTGTACCCATCATAATCAAATCAGCATTCGTGTCTGAGCGCATAAAACCACATCAAGAAGTCACATTATCTCTGAGTTAATCAAACTTTATGAAGGACATTTGCATGTTCAGTAAAAATCAAATTTCCAGGCTGAATTTTCAAGTGGAGTCATTAATTGACATTTTAGTCAACATCTCACTAATAGAGCAGTACTATCTCTGCAGTTACTCCTAGGGTCTAAATACCACCCCCTCCCCCACCACCACCCCCAATAAAAAAGAAATGGAGGAGTACAGGTTAGAAATATATCTTCATCATTTTCAGTCCCTTAAAATAATAACCACAACTGTTTGATGTAAAGGGCCGAAATCATTGCATATATTGAAGAGGAAATCACACTAGAAAAAGAAGACTAAAGCCTTTAACCATGAAACAGATATGGAGAGTCTCTAGGTAGCCATGACACAATGATTAACACATTCCTCCTCATCTCATTAAGCAAACAGTCCTGATTTAGTACCCATTTAATGGACATTTTATGACCAAGCTTTCTTGAGGAAAAATCAAATTTATTCAATACTGGCTCAGACCCATAAATCTCAACGTGTGTGTGTAAAAAGAAATAAATCACATAATCTCATAAGAAGTTAATTATAAATTTATATGATGTCTGGGTCATGGTTATTTGGCACCAACTCCTTTTAGAATAGCAAAGTATATCACCATCTGGTATTAAAATTACAGATAGCCTAAACGCCATACAACAAACACATAAAAACATATCCCCAGTCCCTTCTCTAGAGAATTGTTTTGATTTTTTAAAATTCTATTTGTACTTAAAGGATTACAATTAAAAGAAAAGAAAATAAAAGCAAAACGAAAACAATGAAGTACATCTATTTATGAATTTAACATGACAAACAGGAGAATTGTGTACATAGATATCAAATCATTATACTTCTCAGACTATTCACTGGACTTTCCATTCAAAGCTCAAATATATGTCTAATATCATAATTTCTGGTGAGAGACAGAAAATATGTGTGACAGTATCTACATACAACTTCAAGTATCAAATATAAATGTTGTAAAAGACATCCAGGTACTTTAAACTTACCTAAATGAAGATCCATGACTAACTAGACGTGTCTTGTTTCTTGGCACTGGTTTGATTCTATGGCAGCGAAAAAAAGCATGATGTTCCAAGCACTTTTTCCAAAAATTCTTACAGCAATCCCTGCTGTCAAAGAAAAACTCCACTGTGTCTTTGTAATAACCCTGTGTTAAAAACCAACAAGACATTTAATAAGATTTTCATACTTTTTCTAAGAGACAATTTTTTAATACTGATTATATTTAAAATCATATCTATAACATTTCCTTTTCAAACAAATTCTCCAAGAACATTGAAAATAAAGAATCACTAACATACGGCCAAATCTTGTTATCTTGAACCGAGAAAAAAAAATTAGAGATATCCAAGGATTTGAGATATCCAGGATTAAATAAAGAATAAGCTGTTGGGACTTCCTAATCACTCCAACATATTCATGGTATTCGAGATATTGGTGTTCAAGATACCAAAGTTCAACTGTACATTAAATTATGAAATATGAAAATTAAAAGAGTAATAATTCACAGTTAAATGTGTACTATTTAAGTGAAACTATCTGAAGCAATAAGCACCAATAAATTATAATACCTACTCAATCTTTACATTTTTAACATCTTATCATACATAAATCAAAATATACACATTACAAACCCTTAATACAATGTGGTCTAACACTTTATATATATATTTTCATAGTGAAAAATATACAGTTTTATTTATAGGAAAAATCTTTAAAAACCTTCTTCTCAAGAGCCACTGGGCCAGAAAAGCTGAAACTTATATGGAAGCATCCTGGGGTAGTGTAAATACTAAATTGTTCAACTCATGACCCCTGGGGCTAGTATGTCCCCAGTTCTATAAAGTCAGGGTTGTTGCACAAGATCCCGGGGCCAGGGAATTTCCCTGCCTATAATGACATACTGTATACAGGGAAATTTTTGCCTTTATTTTATTTTCGCCCCTTCGCCCTAGATACAAGTGGATGAATTTAAGACGGAGCGAATTCAAAGGAAACAGTATGAATTCTTAAAGAAATCCATGACTGGGCGAATTTAAAATGGGGCAAATTTTTTTGTAATTGTGAAAGGGCAAAAATAACACTGGGCAAAAATAACTCTGTATACAGTAATCCCCTGGTTATTCTGGCATTGCCCACTGAACCCCGACTACGGGAGGAACCCAAGAACACCCTCCTACTTTTAAAATGTCCCCTTCTTTTTCATTTCTTTGGGACAACCCTGTATAAAGTAATATACTCCATTTTAATTACATTTTGATAGGAAAACTTTCCTATGAGATGTGTATATTTGTGAACCTCCCAAACATTTTTTTTCTGAATCTGAATACAATAAAATAAGGTTACAGCAGATATGCTTAATCAGAACTACATCAGAATTGATCACTTCTGGCACTTTTCAACAAGCACATTATACTGTATTTACTTAACAGTGACGGTTGGGAAATCAAGGCCTAATTAGTTACAACCCTGCATTTCTGTACACAACAGCCAATACTTACTTTCTGTCCACTAACGTATGTTTCTGGATGAAGTTTAATGAGGAAGCGTTTTCGCTTAAAACTGAGTTTCCGTATTTTTGCCCATGAGAATGTGTTGATGCGAGTGAACTGCTGAAAGACTAAGATGCCCATGTGAGCTATTGCCAGACTCAAGGTCACATTCTCGTGGTCCTGAAACAAAGAACTACATAATGAAAATTCATTGTTCTTAATTACGTATTAAATGTTTTTGTTCTCTTAACATCAGATACATTTCATTTTCATTAGAGAAATTACTCAGTAAGAAAAAATAATTTATACATCAGCATTAACAGTCAATGGAGAGTATAATACCAGATTTGACATCTCTGTCTTAATTTCTAACCAGAATTTTATACAATATCATCTGCTTGTTCAGACCTCTTCCTCCCCCCCCCCCCCCCAACTTTTTCTTCTTAACAGCTTACCCTGGCTGGACAAAGTTTCATTCCATAAGTTTCTACTTTTCTGGCTGTATCTAGAAGTCCTGCCTCAGCTTCAGCAGGGCTTTCTCCTCTGTAAAAATAACAACCAATCAATGACTTAGAATTTATAACCTTAATCAAAAAACAATATATATATATGTATACAATTTTTTTTTTTTACTTTGAAATAAATATAACTGATGCTTTGTAATGCACACATTTTGCAGGTATCCATACGCTACCAACAACTTCATACAGATCTAGTACAGAATTAAATCATGGTGTCTGTGTCATTTTACATGTTTCATTCAAATTTCATTTTTATTTTCAATCTTAGTCATTTACTGAATCCCTAACTCAATGTTTAAATGGTATTTACAAACGAGTTCCCAAACTGATAGTAAAATTCCCCGCAATATAACGACAGTGTGAAGTGTTATATGAACAAAGCTCACCGGAACAAATATGTACATGTATGGGCAAATCAAAAGTCTAATAAAGTTTTTTTTTAAAATTCAATATGTGAATTGTATCAATTAATTCATTTGAAATGAATAATTTTCTATTTCACCAGAGAATCAACTGCAATACACCTTTCTGTAAAATCAAATAACCGAAGCTTTGAATCACATCAATATCTGTCACTTTGTATGGACCAAGCCTCTCACCAATCAAACTGTAATTATTGCTGAACAAATAACTTCCCAATAAACTGCTCTTAATGAATTTCTTTTCCATCATTGTAAGGAAGTAAATATCCCCGTTAATGGCTCAATATTTATTCCAAACTATGGAGGACACAGTTTTTGCAGGAGCAATATAGTTACCTAAATCCACACTTAATTCATTATTAACAGATGATATGCTACTGAATGGTGTAAAATTTCTTTTTCTGGTAGAGGGTTTGAGCATCAACTTAGCGAAAGGTAGCACATTTACAGACAACTAATTTTTTAATTTAAAATTACAGTCATATTAATTTCTTTAACAAACAATGATTAATGAAGGCTCAAAGGTCAACCACAACATTTGAAAATCATAAATTTCTAATGGGTAACAAATGGTCCATCTTATGATCAAAGTAAAAGTTTAATTAGGATTTGTGTGAACAACCAATGTACATGCTGCATCCATTTATCATATGTAATATTAAAATACTGCCTACATGTGTTGTTTGAGGTATAAACATTAAAATACTGCCTACATGTGTTGTTTGAGGTATAAACATTAAAATACTGTCTACATGTGTTGTTTGAGGTATAAACATTAAAATACTGCCTACATGTGTTGTTTGGGGTATAGACATTAAAATACTGCCTGCATGTGTTGCTTGAGGTATAAACATTTAAATACTGCCTACATGTGTTGCTTGTGGTACTCTGCGACTTTCTTCAACATGTCTTCCGTTTGGTTTGGTACAAATGGACCCAATACCTTCAAGTATGTGTAATCTCGATACTCCTCAATGATAAAATCCCCAATCTCAGCTGCCAAAACAAGAGAAATACAATTATCACAAACAATATAATTCTGAAATTATCTTTTCATATTAATCTACAGTAATTCAATTAGAAGATGAAAATCTTTGAAACTAAAAGTTCTAGTTAAACTATAATTATCTATAATTTGTGTATATTACTAAACCATTAAAATGATTACAAATACAGTGTAATGTATTTACAATCAGCATGCCAGCCAAAGAGAAAATTGGTTTTCAGCATGCTAGCTCAAAGCATGTAATTCTTTAGCAAGGTTGACAATTTTTCTAAGAACTATTCATCAGGTACACTGTCAATTTTGAGCTTACAGATTCATGACAACAGGTCTTAGCCAAACTCGCAACAATGCTTCACTGCCATGCAAGCACAGAGACAGTTACCTTGAACAATGTAGGAGGCTATCAGAGCCGCTGTGTTCTCGCTACACACCATGGATCCATTAGCTAGATCTTTCTTGATCTGAAGACTGTACAGGTACCTACAAACAAACAAAATATTTGTTCGTGGAATCAAGCTTGAAATTTATCATTATTGTATTTCAGATTTCCCCCCTCAAAAACATTTATTCTCTATTCCTTCAGCTATGGAATGCCTTTTTCACATTTAGTAAAACAGCTGAACTTCATTACTTTGAAAATTGGTATCTCTAATACTGTGGATGTCAAAATGTGCTAGAAATCCCAATCATTTTTTAACACCATTGTCAAGAATCCCAATATATATCTCATTTTTTTTCCTCCATGCTAAGGAGTCCTAAATAACAAGATTTGACTGTAAATCTACCCTGTTTTATGGATATTATATTACCTGGTGTACTCCTCCAACATGCCTGGATCTGGAGTGTAAAACTTCACCAGGAACTCCAGGGGTGAGTCAGGGGAGGGTAACTGTTTCAGTACCGGTTTCTCATTGTCCAGCCAGCACTGAAATAAATCAATTAACACATAAAAATCTGACCATCTCAAGTCTTTGTTTTTTTTAAAATTTCTTACATATGTGGTAACACATACAAAAACTGTAGGTCTAGCATTTTGAAAAAAAATTGTTAAATGTTTTCAGGGAGACTGAAAGCGAGACAGACAATGAAAACTTTATCCAATGGAATATAGCTCGTCTGGTTCTCAAAATGTAAAGGGAAATATATATTGAGAAAGTCTTTCTAAATTACACGGAAAAAGAGGTTTTTTTTTTTTTTTTTTTTTTTTGGGGTGGGGGGGTTTACCACCTGATGGAAAACAAGTAATGCTGATTATTACAAAGGTTTTACCTTGAGTCCGTGAGAATCCTCATATTGCAGTCCAAAATAGTCACTCTCCACTAACTGTAGATGATGAACTGCTGCCTCCCATAGGGACCGCCCAATGTCCTTGACCTGTCAATGGAGGTTAAAAGGTCATACTCATTCAATCATTCAATATATGGACAAAATACCATCTCTGTGACATCATACAGCCAAGGACTTTCAGTTTTAAGGCAGTACTACACTAAACACAACATTATTCAAGTCTTTAAATGTATTTGTCAATTTTATCAAAAAGCAAAATGCATCACATTGCAAAGAATGCCAATTGTCACTACCATGATTACTGTATGTGTTGTAAGGGCAAAAACACAAGAAAAAATGACTTTATTAACTGTGCTACTGACATTTCATAAAAAGAATGTTTTGAAAACAAAATGAACAAAGAAAGTATATATCAGTTTTGTTAGACTGCATACTAGAAGTGTACATGTATCATTGACACCCAGGAATTGCATGGGCTGAGATAGAAAATAAATCAATACATTTAATACTATTGGATGATATATAGTCCCCCACCTCTTGTGCTTATAATCTAATTGAACGTGTTCTTGGAACAGTTTTATCCAACACATGCCAATAAAACGTTTCCATCGAATTTACATTTATAGTTATCAATTATCATGATTATTTAAAACCAACAAATTGCCCTACTGCCCTTTCGGCAAGCAGGATCTATGCCATAATATAAACAGGATCTATTATATATTCATTACACAGAAACTCTTCTAGTCCCCCTGGTGGTATATATACCTACACAACAAGATGTTACTTGATGTCTATTGAGCCTTTTTTGATGCCCTTTGTGTAACCCTGATTTTTAATCAAACGTGTCCAGTAACAGAAGTGTTTCTGCATCTACTATCATATGTATGATGAATATACAAGTAAGACTGAGCTACAACTCCGAGTCTGTACGTGAATGTCCATACATATAGAGAGATATGCAGTATTTGAATCAATTTTGTGATGGCTTTCAAAGGAATTTCATAAGTTAAAATGTCCTAGGATTTAACGTGATGCCACATGAGGTTATCTCCCAGAACTGAACGTTTTCTACTGGGTACCACCGGGCTAGTGGTCATCGTCCAGCTCATTTTTCTCTACAGATACGCCAGTCACAGGAAATACCTTATTCCAAGATACCGCACAGAATCAGGAAAAGAAAGAGCAGTTGAGATTTCAGCACTACTCAATGAAAATTCCAAACATCTCAGTGAAAACTCCAAACATCTCAGTGAGAAAACAGGACGATTCCGTGAGGAATCTGTCCACCTCAGTCAAAAATCGGAACCTCTTCACGAGAAGTTCGTACTTCATCATGTATATGACCGCAGATCAGTAGCTTCTACAAATGTGAGATCAAAGTCTAATACTTCAAAGGAGTCTTTATTGACAAAAAATGCTGCAGTTGGAAGGTGAGGATTTACAAATTATTGATCACGTGTTCATTGTATTCATTACATGCCTTTTTAATTCATTGTTTTCAGACTTTGCAACGAATCTAAACTACTGAAATTTGATAGACTTTCCCCAAAAGCTTCAATTCTGGCACAAATCAAGTATATTTTGAAATGTTGTTTTTAATGTTTTGTCAGATAAATATAATCCCTCCCCAGCTTAGATCACAATATCCTGTAGAGATAACTTAATCATAGATCTACAGCTGAATATACAACTAGACATGTTTTTATCATATTAATATACTTTTTGCTCTTTTATTTTTTTTTTCCTAACACCCCAAGTGTTCTAATAAGATCTTATCATAGGCATTTTTTTTTTATTAATATTCAATTCTACCGTTTTCTTTTAGAGAAAACCTCACTTTTGATCCAAGAAGTTGTTCAAGATCCAAAGCAACAATTCATCCTGACTTCCAAACTCCCTTCAAAATCTACATCTATGAGCTTCCCCGGAAATTTAACTCTGACATCCAAACTCGTCTCGAGCTCCAACACCCTGAGTGCTACTCCTTTGAATATTGTGGAAGTGGATCCAGGCTTTTTGACATTGAACAAGGTGTTCATGTTCAGGACAGCCATCAGTTCTCTCTGGAAGTCCTCATGCACCATCAGTTACAGTTCAGCCCTTATCGAACACTTGATCCACACCAGGCTGATTATTTCTACATCCCAGCCTACATTAGTTTACAGTGCCTGCTCGCCTCGTATCCCCTTGTTAAAACCACCATATCACTGATCAATGAATTGTTTAGTTACCTGAACTCCACACCATACTTTTCCAGTGGGAAACCCCATTTTTCCTCTCTTGGAAAGATTGAGAGAGAGATGTCATCCAATGGAAGCTGCCCTTATCTCTTACACCCTCAGACTCAAAACGTCACTTTTTTGTCTATTGAGAAGGAAACAAAATACCTGAGTTTCCTCAGGCAGAAAGTCATATCAGTGCCATATCCAAGCTACATTCATTTGACAAGGAAAAACAGTCTTCTAAGAGACTTCCCTAATGATTCGCAGCGGAATGTGTTCATACTTTTAGCAGCAAGCACAAGAAGATCTACTCCATATCGTGTCATTATCCTGGACCAGTTCACAAACAGAACCACCCTGTCCTACCAAGATTACATGAAATCTAGACAGAAGAACTCGAGCATAAATATGATAATGTTGAAAACATCGGAATGTGATCGCAAAGCTAAATACACAACAGTGCCCTGGATGCTACACTCTGTCTTCTGTCTGCAGCCCCCCGGGGATTCCCCCACTAGGAAATCCTTTTACGACTCCCTCTTGAGTGGTTGCATCCCCGTTCTATTTCCTTATCCTGACCATCCATCTGCCTGGGCATTCCAAAATCACTTCAACTTCACCAAATTCACTGTCACCATTCCTTATGATTATATGCATTCCAAGAGCAACAGTGTATATGATTTTCTCTCAAAATTATCCCCAGCATACATTTTAACTCTACAAAAACAAGTCAAGAGAGTGGCACAGTGGTTCCAATACAGTATTCCTGACGGATCCCAAACGGACCAACAGGATGCCATGACACTGATATACAAAGACCTACGTGATGCTCTCTCTAGTGGAAAAACTGTCAGAAATTAGATTATATCCTTAGAAAGCTTGCTCTACACAAAAAGCTTAATTACAGGACATGGTTGTTAAAAACAAAAGAATTCTTTTAACTCCATCTATATACTTACTTTTGTTAGTATACATGTGTATGAGAGAAAAAATTAACTTACCGGGACTTGAAAAACATGTACAGTGTCATCCAAAAACTTGATCCTGATATTGACAATTTTGCCCTTTCTGGGGGCCCGCGGGGACAAGGGGTCACTCATCCCCAGAGTCTGGGCTCATTCTACCTCAAACCACATGTCATGTCAGCCGTATAGCATCTACAAAATAGACATCACATGTATAATACATTATACAGATACGAGCAATGTTGATTATTTTTGATTTTTAAAAGTATAATCAAATTCAACCAAATTCTCTCTTGGCTGATACTTTCTACATGTACAGGTATAAATCTCAGTTAAGTATAATGGACAATTTATAGATTGAAAAATGCTCAATTGCTTATTGTTTGTTTGTCCATACCAGCCTCAGGTAAATATTTACATTCTACATTGAATGTTTGATGTAATCATATATAATAATTCATTCTATTCTTTTGTAATTATATTAAGATTTGCATGTCAGGTTACTCTGTGAATGTTATCACAGATTAACCATGGACTTACATGTTTTAATTATAACTTGCAAAGCATATATATATATAATATATATATATATATATATATATATATATATATATATATATATATATATATATATATATATATATATCATAGTCATCTCTTGAGTGAATGGTTTCTGTATAGAAAATGTTTAAATGTTTGAAAATTACATCCATGGTGCAATCAAAATTGCCCTTGGTTAACCTGGGGGTGCAGATAACCCACTCTCCCATTGATCAGTGCTAGTAATCTAACCAAGCTAGTGAAATTATTAAGAGCATTCACTCATCCGGCAAACAGTTTCTTTAACAAAAAGTCTTGGTTCATTTGTATTTTGCGGGATATATTTTCATGGTAGATTAAGATAAATTATTGTATAGTGACCTCATAGAAAACATGGAAAGAGTGGGACTTAGTAGATCTACATTAAGTACATGTAGAGCTCTATAAATCCCTTACCTAGCACGTTTGATGCATACAATACATACAATTTGATTCTTTGTGAAATGTGAGTGTTGTTCAATTGTACATGAATCAAAAGAAATTCAAGTGAATTTATTTTTAAAGATAAGTACTCTGTACATCCCTTGACTTCAATTTTTGTCACTAGCCCAAGAATCTTCAGTTTTAACCCAATGCTCCACCTCTACCTTTCTTTCAAAGGCATGTGCACTTTACTCTGCAAAAATGTTACAAGTTGTCAATGAAATTACTAAAACTTGCAAAAGGCGATATAAATGTGTATGAAACTTACAGTTGAACTTCGGTATCTCGAACATGGATATCTTGAATACCATTTTTATATTAATATTGGATTGATTGGGAAGTTCTAACCACATATTTCCTAAGTATTTTACCCTCAATATCTCAAACTCTCGAATATCTCTAAGTTTTTTCCTAGGTCCCATTGAGTTGAAGATGATGAGGTTTGACTGTATATTTTTTGTTCTCTTAGACATAAAATGACCTCTTTTTTTAATCTGTACAACATAGGAATCATGTGAAGATACAAGACTGAATAGTAAGCAAGGTTGTCCCTAAGAATTGAAAGAGAAGGGGACATTTAAAAAGTAGAAGAGGATCTGGGGTTCCTTCCCTAATGAGGAGTTTAGGAGGAATTCCAAAAGAACCTGGGGATTACATCATTATAGGCGGGGAAATTCCCCAGCGCTCGATATTAGGGACAACCCTGAGTAAGGCATAAGGATCCAATCACAGTTAGTGTAACTGATACACAAAACTTTCTTCGATACTTCTAAACTTGTACCAAATATACTTCAGTATCACATACCTTGGTGTAATTTACCCATGTACCTAATAAAGAAGGTAACACTGATAAGAAATCTCCATTAAACAAGATAAACTACTGCGACTTCACTGCATTTAAGTCTGGTCTGGAGGTGATTCATGAGTGTGTGTCAATAAAGTACCTGGTATTGCTGTGATTTCAATTTTAAGGAAATTATGCACCCTATTCAATAGGCACCTCTTATTTTTTTTTCCAGTTTAACAATTTTAAATTCATATTAAACATTTTTTTCAATCAGAGAATTATGTGCAGACCTTTTATACATTTGATAAATGATTCGATAACAGATCTCTATGTTTTAATTTATTCTACTGATGCAAGACTGCATGATTTCAAGATCACAATACAAAGGATATAGTGGCCAATGGTACATGTACTTCTGTTGCACAATACACACTGAATTATCTCCCTTACTCCTACAACATGGGATAATTTTTCCTTCTTAACCTCTGAGGCTTGTATGAATAACTCTCATCTGACCTCATCATGCTCATGTCCTTACAACTGATGTACTTTTATGACTATTACAGGGTGTGCCTAAAAACTATATATACTTCTGTGAAAAAATACTAGCTTTGTTTTCAATCAACCTGCACTTCTCAAAAATCCCTATGGTTTGCCTGTCAACAGCAAATGATAGAAGTACTTCACACCAAATATCCATATCATCATTCTAAGTAGATTGTCATTCCACCCTCCACTCTGGGGACAAACTATTAGGAAGTCTCTCACATCAAAGTCCTACAGTCTCCTCCAAAAAACTGGCACTTGATCAGAAACCATCACTGGGGACCCCTGGTCCCTCTTTCAAGTGTCACAGACTGTCCACAGAGTATAACAGTGCTGAAGCACAAATTAGATTACCATGCGATAAGACTGGAAATTTCTGTCACTTCCCGGAGATGAATAGCCATTTACTGGTGTGAACAAAAATATTGATATATCCATAACCCCGTCTCAGAGATGCAAGCATTCTATTGTGAGTGTAATAAACGAGTTGGCAAATAAGCAAAAGCCAATATTCCCTTCCTCTAAGCTACCCCAAAAGCTAAAAACACAAAAGATGTGTTTGACAGAAAAGTATTGACATCGTTATCATTAGAAAATGGTAGAAAACACTTAAATGGATCTCCAAATGATATATGGTTGCTTTGAAACACAAAACCGTTCAATCAGTTCGGCAGAGTATATTATGAACTGTGAACTTTATTTCTTAGCTCTACATTCTGCTATTTTACCATGAAAGATGTCAAATGTTCCATATGATACATCAGCCAAGTGCTGTATGCAGTAAAATGCGTACTTCAATCAATTATCAGATCCATTTTATTAACCATTCCTAACTTCATAGAAAACAGTAAATTTGTGGGTACGAACTGCTCAAAATTTGTAAGAAGTAACTCATCACATCAACTTCTGTCCTGAATCAGGTCAACTCGACGATACTTTCGATATCTCCAAACATTACCTATTACATCCAGAGTAAAAAATGCTAAATATAGTCCTAAAACAGTTGAAAAGGAATGTGAAACCTCACCTGCAAGTGTGACCAGTCATGCATATCCTGCCCACTTACTACAAATTCCAACCTCTGGCACTCAACCTCTCTCAAACATATGCCACACAGAGGGACCTCCAAATAAACAATATCCAACACAGATGGTTCACAACTAAAACACTGTATAGATCCGTCCAATGCTATCTGAGCATCAAACTTATCTGATCCTCTGCAAAGTTCCAAAAAATTCAATATTTTGGTTATTGAATGTGTGCAGCCAAGTTAAGATTTATGATATACTGCATTAATACTGATCCTATCTGCTGACCTCTGACCTAGATGTACCGATGCCACGATACACTCGGAATCGGATCAATGACTAACTGAATTATAAATGCTATTATGTTCATCCCAAAAAAAATCTGAATTCTATTTAAAACACAGGTCTATCTGAAATAATGGGTTTTTCTTTCTTAAGTAAACTTAGGGACGACAAGTGCTGTAAAACAAACATGGTAACATGAAAGAAAAATCTTTGTTGGGTAAAAATGTATGTTAAACAAATTAGATCATGTTTTGTGTCCTAAACTACCTTTGTAAATAAAAAAAGGAATTTGTGGAAAAAAAAAATTTTGTTTGCCAATTTCACAGGTCAGTGATCTAACCAGAGGGCTTGATTGTGTACTTGTAAGGCAATGTACAATATCATTATATCAATGCTTTGATTACCGATATCAGACATAAAAAAAAACTGAAATCAACAATTTTCTGCCATTCTATCAGCCTTGGGCACATGCTTAAATATTTTTAAAAGTTTCATATCAATACTAAAAATAAAAACATGTACATTTATCTTGAAGATAAAATATATCAATTAGTACTTTCATTTTACTTTTCAAAGAGTAAGAGCTAAAATTTCAGATACTCTGTGTAGATTTCCACATTTGTACCCTAGCTTACTTTCAATGTCTGGGTCATGAGTATAGAAATGATGTCTTTTCCATCATTACTTAACTAAATGCCTAAATTCTTCTCTCGCACCCCCTCAATCACTATCAATTTTTTTTTTCAGATTTTGAAGAAGATGCAATCTTTTTTTTTTTTTTTTTTTTTATATGATGAATGCTAAGTGCAGAAATGCAATTTACAATACATCCTCTAATAAAATGTGATGTGTCCAGCATAATTCATATACATATATTTCACATACTTACACATTCAGAAGTTTACAGTAAATACATGTAACAAGTTACTCTTGACATGAAATGAAACTGGACCCATTAATACCACTTCATATGTTCCACTTAATTACGCCTCTGCTTTCTATTCAAAAATTATCTGTCATGTTCATAAATCACTCTCAAGTTGCATAATCTAAATTGGAAAACACAAGTTTTCTTGGCCAAGTGCAAGTCATTTGAAAACCATAAGTCGGGGCACAAATAGCTCTAACTCTCTCCAATGGAAGTGTTTCGATCAATACTCCTTGACGAAATCATTCAATAAGGGCTTGTCAATAGCTCTACATGAAGCAAGATGTTACAGAAATACTGATAGACACACAGACACGTCTTTCCAAAGTGTGAATATATTGATCACTCTAACTCTTTTTGTCTTTGAATAAAGGGCTAAAACAAGACTTTGTCAAAAGTTATTAATATAATTATTACAGTGTTTTTAAAATTACTAATAATTGTTATTACCTGGTAATATGATTAATTTTTTTTCCCTGTCACGTGTGGAAAAGGGAGGGGAGAAAAAATACAGGGAAATAGAGCAGAATATCTGGTAACAATTAAATACAGTAAATATTTGACATTATCCATCTCTGTAACCTGTATAATTTCC